GGGCGGCGCCCGACGGCGGTCCCCGTCGCGCTGCAGGCTGCGCACGACATCGACGTCGTCATCCCCGTCCCCGACACCGCGCGGACAGCCGCCCTCGAGTGCGCGCACGCGCTCGACATCCCGTACCGCGAGGGCTTCATGAAGAACCGGTACGTCGGCCGCACCTTCATCATGCCGGCGCAGGGCCTGCGCAAGAAGTCGGTCCGCCAGAAGCTCTCCCCCATCGCCTCCGAGTTCGCGGGACGCAACGTCCTCCTCGTCGACGACTCGATTGTCCGCGGCACAACCTCCTCGCAAATCATCAACATGGCGCGCGAGGCGGGCGCCAAGCGCGTGTACATGGCGTCGGCCGCGCCGCCGGTGCGGTACCCGAACGTGTACGGCATCGACATGCCCACCTCGGCCGAGCTACTCGCCTCGCGCTACAGCGACGAGCAGATGGACGAGATGGCTCGCGAGATCGGCGCCGACCGCATCTTTTACCAGGCGCCGCCGCCGGGCCGCCCCGTCCCGCCACCTGAGCCGCCCTCGCTGAAGCGCGCTCCTCCCGCTCGCAGGAGCTGGACGACCTCCGCGCCTCCATCCTGGAGGAGGCGGCCGCGCAGGGCAGCTCCATCCGCGGCCTCGACTGCTCCTGCTTCGACGGCAAGTACGTCACGGAGCACGTCGGCGCGGCGTACCTGCAGTCGCTCGCGCAGGAGCGCAAGGCCAACCGCGGAGACAGCGACACGAACGCCTGCCACCTCCTCTACAAGCTCGACCCCGCCCCCGCGGGCGCGGAGCGCGCGCGGTAGAGCGCCGGCGCCCCCCTCCCCTCCTGGTCCGCCGCACGGCTGCTGGGCGAGTGGAAGGACTCCCCACGCCGCCGGCCGCTGGCTTCTTTGGTCGAGCCACTGTTTGCCGTAGCCACTGGCGCTTGTCCACAACGACCTCTCCCCCCCTCGCTCCTTTCCTCTCCCCTCTCGCTCCTTTCCTCTTCCTCTCTCCACTCCTTCCACACACCTCCTGGCGTCTTAGCGCGCACCCGCACTTCTCTCCCTGGCATGCTCCCTGGCACAGACGACAGAGATAAGACTCGAGAGAGTGCAGAGTCCGCATGCAGGTGTGCACAAACCCTGCACGGCTCGCATAGCTCTCTCTTGCTTGTTTGACTTGATTTCTGCCATCTATTTGCAAATAAGAAATGACTCGTACGGAAGGGACACACGTACACAGGGCGCGTGGCCGTGGGGCGGCAGCGACGGGAACGATGGCATTTGGCATTGGAATGGGGAATCG